TAGGGTTAGGTTTAGGGTTATTTTTAGAATTATGTTACAGCGCGCTTCTGTCGGCGCGCTGTTGTTGGCACGCTGTTGTCGGGCGGTTTTGACAGTGCGGTTTTGTCACCGCGCTTTAGTCACACGCGCTTTAGTCTACCGCGGTTTTGTGGTGGAACCGTTCCAGTGGGTAGGGGCAGCCAAAGAGAAGATCTATTCCTCCTTAACCAGTAATTAAGCCCATATTTCTCTAATTAACCATACTTTCTTCTAAGCAAGGATTATCAGATTTAAAGCAAGCCATAATCTTAATTTAGCTTTAAACCTTGGTTTTATATTCTAGTTCATTTTCAAAAAACAGTATTTCTGTAATTCTTGCAAGATTATGAATGTAATTATTCCTCTTGAAGAAATTTATTAGCCATTTATCAGTATCCACTTCATTATTGCTTTTGCAGGTACTTTACCTACCCATTTAAAGACCTAACCCTGGAGGAGGAGGAAGTTATGATGCACCAGCCTGACAAAGCAAGTTATTTTATGGCCTTCAATGGTTGGGTGATGGGAGATGATCCTCTGAAAAATTTTGCTGAACCAGGTTTGTGTGTGACCTTTCTTTGTGAATTGAACAACTTGAAGTACTTGAATAAAGCATAGTTTTTCAAATAGCCTTCATCCGTGGTTTGGTTTAAATGGTTTAATATGCTAAGGATTGATGAATTTCAGTTCTACACGTTCCTTACTGTACATTTGGGTTGGTATTTCAGAGACTTTTTGGTGACAATGCTTTGCAGGTAAATTAATAGAAATAGAAATACCGTATATATCAGGGGGGTCAAACTCAAGGCCCATGGGCCAGATCCAGCCCGCGAGGTGCTTAGATCTGGCCCATGGGGCCGACCTGGAAACAGTGAAGGTCTGGCCCATGTTGCTTCTGCCAGCAAAAACAGAGCTCAAGAGCGCCACTCATGGCCTTCCCGAGTTCCATTTTCATTGGCAGAAGGTCTGTCGTACATGGAAACAGAGCTCGGGACCCCGTTTTTGCTGGCAGAGTGCTTGGGCTACCATTGCCCCCCCCCCTTCCGACAGTGACATTGAGCTGGCCATGCCCACTCTGGCCACGCCCATCCCATCCCCCCAAGGTCAAACACAACCCTGATGCAGCCCTCAGTTAAAACAAGTTTGATACCCCTGGTATGTATTGTATATCATGATGTAAAAATGTAAGAAACTCCACAGGGAATAGCATGTTGCCAGATTTTCGTAAATAAAATACACATATTAACTTTGGATGTTCTAATTACATATTTAGTGCTATTGCAAAATCCAAAAGAGTCATTTAAAAATATCTTTATTTTGGATATAGAAATATAGAGTTGAAAGGTAGAAAAAAGGCTTTGTAAGCATTTGCTTACTACAGAAAATCCACTTAAAGCATAAGTTAGTCTCAGCATAGCAACAGAGTACACTTACAAATAATTCTTGGGTTGAGTTAGTCTTTTCTCGAAAATATTTCTATTAATATTTCTAACAGCAGTAAAAGGCGTTATATATTTAATTTTGAAATAGATTTATAGGGCAGCTGCAAATCCACCTAACATCGAAGAAAATGAATTATAATCAAAATGCATCAAAGTTCAAATGATTTTAGGCTAAAATAAGCATGGGAAACATTTAGGAATGATATCATTTTAACCAAGTTGAATGGTGAATTCTTAATAAAATGAATTGAGGATTTCATTTGTGGACAAGGAAAATGAGAAGTAAAATGCATGCAATATCTTGTCTTTAGGTTATCTTTCTTACTAAAAAGATGTTCCTCTAAAAATAAAACGTCCAGATCTAATATAAGATGATTTTTCAAATCATCATAACTAGTTTCTAACAAATGTAAGAAAATTTTAATTTTGGGATAGCAGTTGAATTTTAATGAAGTAATATTTCATCCTGGGGCATCAATTTGATGTTGGGACATAAAAAACCATGAGTGCATAAATAGCAATAGCAATAGCAGTTAGACTTATATACCGCTTCATAGGGCTTTCAGCCCTCTCTAAGCGGTTTA